TCAACAGATGTAAAATGACCACAAGTTGCTCTGATAGGGAGAACCTGAACTTGGGCACAAAAAAAGTCAATTATGCTCAATGCTGGCCCTAATGTTTAGTTAAACTGAGCATACAATTTCAATATATAACAAATTGTGAATCAATTGCCTTCAGATGGTTGCCTGAAAAGGGGACTGAAAATTCGTTAATTTGGGCCTACAAATCATGAAACCTCCAGTTCATAAGAAATATGACTCCAATTATTTGAAAACAAAAGTGGTGTGTTCTATGTAGGGATTTCCTGGAAGCATCTGGAAGACCAGTGAGAAACACCATAAATCAGAATTATTACTGTGCCCTTTGGCGACCGCATCTACTTGGAGAGGTTATTTATTTATTGAATTCAGCATATAAGGGAACAAATGTGTCTACAAATACAGTCTCACATATTTCTGTGATGTATAGGTTTATATGCCTGATTTAGAGAGGATGGCATGTGGCTGAGAAATAAAACTACATGACATGACTACATAAATACCTAACATCTCCTGTTCAGATCTTGCCTCTGCTACAAAGTATTTTAACTTTTATGCTCTCTCTCAAATTTGCTACACATAAACAGTTGTGTAGCAGCTAAAACTGTTAATATATGTTAAGCTTTTTGAGCACTCAATATTTCAAATGCTTATTGCAGTTATTTTTGGATGCACAGTTACCACTACATAAAAAGACACAATCTCCAAGGTTGGCTTCAGAGTCCTTGTTGGGTCCTGTCATTAGTTAAGGCCAAAACAATGGATGTGATACAAATGATTGTTTTGGTACAATACAGATGACTTTTTATCTTTGAAATGCCAATCTCTCTCTAAAAAAACCTTGGTGGATCTTGTATTACAAAATCCTTGAGCATATTTGTATTTTTAGGGCACATTTTGACAGCTCTTCAATTGTTGCTTTAATCTCTCTTTCACATTTTTTCTGTAAAGTCTAACAAACACACAGTGAAGTCTACGATAGATCTTTCTCAATTTATTCCCAAGATAAGCTATTTCAAAAGAATAAGTCTCCAAGTCCTACAATTTAATGATTATTTAAATCACGTGACACAGTTGATGGCCAAGTTGAAACTCAAACAAACTTTCCACTTGGCAACTACTTTGATCCAAGGAATACATATTTGTATATACTGTAGATTTTAGTTACTACACTGTCCATTATTCAGATTCGTACCACTGAGGCAAGATTTGTGTCCAAATATCCCAAATGAATGTCCATGCTGCCTAAGTCAATTTCCCCACCACCTCCTCATTTTGTAGGTTAATATGCAGGACTTCAGTAACATACCTAGGATGAAAGCATATTTTGATTTCTCCCAGGCTCAGAGATTTTAAAGTAAAACTTATGTCATTTGTCCATACTCAGCAGCCTACTCTCTCATTTCACAAAGACCGTTCAGTAGCCACACAGCCTGCCCTAATCCATCATATCGCGTCCTACACTGAAGTTCTTCGCCGTCCCTATTCCGAGGCACATCAATAAATAGCAAACCCTCTGCTCAGGACCAGAGGCATCCTTTTGAGGTGGAAAACATGTGTTCCGCCTAAGCTAAAAAACACACTTTCCCTCCCTCACATCCCAATTATTTCACATACGAAGCGCGACACTGCAACGCTCAAAGGACCAGTCTTGAGGGGATTCCCTTCAATCAGTCCTCCCTTCCAGGGTCTCCTAACCCCCCCGGACCCGGACCCGCTCCCCCTCTTTTAGGATGCTGCTCCGCCTCCCAAGGAAAACGCAGTCCCCCTTGCAACGGCCAAGTCGGCTTCCCCGCTCTCCAACGGCCCACACCCCCACCCTCACCAGGTCGGGCAGTCAAAGAGTGGGAGGCTACCGCCGCCGCCACCGGCAGAGTTTGCGTTCGCCGCCATCTTGTGACTGCCCCCATTCAGCTGGGCGCAAGGCACGCCGGGAAGCTGGAAGACCTGGCGGGAGGGTTGCGATCCCGGCATGCATCGCGGCCAGGCGGGCGAGCGAGGGGTGTGTGTGTATGGATAAGCGGGGAAAGAAAGGGGAGGGGGAGAGACAAGCCGCAGAGGATGGAACGTATTCCGTTCGGGGGCGACGTCACAACGACGCTCCTTTCCAAGAGCGGGAACAGGAGAAGCCGTCGTGGGAGAGGGAGGCCATTTTATAGTCACGGAATTCAAGGCGGCGAGGTGCGCTTGCCTCTTGTGTGGGCCGGAGTCCGCGCTCTTTTTCTCCTGCAATCTGTGGCGGTGTTTTTTTATTGTTTTTGTTTCCTCCGGGTATTTTTTTTTAATGTGCAACTGTTCATTATTACATGATGCTGATGCCAGAAACGTATACGTCATAAAGGAGCCACGTGCGCGCGCTTCGCCTTTTAAAACCGCCAGCCCGTTTGAGGGGCGACGACAAGTCTCGTTCTGAGGTGTCCGCTGAGCAGAGCGACGGGCGCCTGCAAACCTCCCCTTGTCTCAAAAACGCTATAGAGCATCACACAGAACAACTAGACATAAGAATAGCTTTTTTCCCTGAACGCCATCATTCTGCTAAACAAATAATTCCCTCAACACTGTTAAAACTATTCACTAAATCTGCATTAGTATTGCTATTCATCTCATCGTCCCTATCACCCATCTCCTCCCACTTACGACTGCACGACTGTAACTTTGTTGCTTGTATCCTTACGATTTATATTGTTTCCTGATATGATTTGATTGCTTATTTGTACCCTATGACTATCATTAAGTGTTGCACCTTATGATTCTTGGTGAATGTATTTTTTTTAATTTATGTACACAGAGCATTTGCACCCAATTCCTTTTGTGTCCAATCACACTTGGCCAATAAAGAATTCTAGTCTATTGAGCTGGATGCTTCCGAGTTAATTTTAGAGATGTTGGTCCCTTAGTCCTATAATGGTCTTGTCTGTATGTCTTAGGGCTGAGTTCATGCAATGTCCTTATACTAGTAGTAGCTGCATTTTGTACAGTAGTACAAAAACTTTCTCAAGTATTACAAAGTCCATCCTGTGTGGTCCTCAGGTTGGTTTTAATACTTGGTTTGTGTATTGTGCCCTAACATTTGTGTGTAGTGTGATGCCTGGAAACAACTCTACATTCTCTACACTAGTAATTAAATGTGAGGGCAGCCACTATTGGATACTTGGGTGAATTCTGAAGGTTTTGTCAGTTCACAATTTTCACAAGATAGCTACAATTTTTATTTGTCTGAAGGGTTATTACAAACAATCCAATTTTAACTCAACCCCCCTCCCCAACTGTACTTTGAGCAGGCATAACTGCCATACACTCATGGGTTGATTTGTGTTGTATGTGCATATGTATGTGTATGTCCTGGATATTGATACCACCACCTGGGACAACCCTGGCACAAGATCAATTGACTTGGCACGCGCTGATCCACCAAGGCTGCCAGACATCTGAGGACAGAAGAACAACCATAGCACAAGAGAGGTGAGCACTCTGCAAAGCCAGAGCTGCAGATGCTGCAACAATAGTGCCCACACGTCTGCCCGACATGTGGCAGCACATTTTGTGCCCACATAGGCCTTACGAGCCACCTGCAGACACATCATGGACAGCCCACAGCCTGTTTGATGTCAAGGTCTTCTTCAATCATGATGGAAGAACATCATCATGTGCATATAATATGCACATATTTCCACACTGTGTGCTTTGGAATTATTTTTGGCTTCTTGGCAAATGCTGAACATAGGTTTTTCATGTCGTTTTTCAGAAGTGGTTAGTCATTCCTAGGGCTCTGAGTGAATGGCTGGCACCAAGTCAACCAGCTGGTTTCTTACTTAACCAAAGGCCTAGAACCACCATTTAATACTGACACTCATTTGCACACTTGGCAAAAACAAATCCTTTGGTGAATGTACTCTCTTTGATCAGTCTCATTGCCTTCTGACACAGATATATTTACTAATAACAAGATTTTGTAGTTTTCAATTATCAATTAATTTCCTGTAATTCAGGCTGTCTTGAAAGGAAAGTGGACCACCAAGGTTATCAGAGTTGCACTGATATTTAATTCGAAGATTTAAGTTGAACTAGAACTTCAATTGTACCAGGAAAAACCATGGTATCTCCACGAATTGATTTTTCATCTTTTTATAAATACAACCATTTTAGCATCCAGGAGTGTTCTTTTATTATCCTGCTTCTTGTTTCCACCAGTAAAAAATTATATATACCGGTAGGTAGTCCTTGAACTATGTCCACATTGAGCCCAAAATTTCTGTTCCTAAGCAAGACAGTTAAGTGAGTTTTACCCCATTTACGATCTCTTGCCACAGTTAAGTGAATCAGTGGAGTTGTTAAGTGAATCAGTGCAGTTGTTAATAACACTGTTGTTAAGTGAATCTGGCTTCCCCATTGATTTTGCTTGTCAGAAGGTCACAAAGGTGATCACATGACTTTGGGGCATTGCAGCCATCATAAATAGTAACCAGTTGCCAAGCATCTAAAATTTGATCATGTGACCACAGAGATGCAACACTCATTAGTGTGAAAAATGGTTGTAAGTCATCCGTGCTGCTGTAACTTTGAACCATCACTAAACGAATGGATGTAAGTTGAGGACTACCTGTATTTTAGATATCACTCTCTTAGAGAGTTATCACCAGGTAAAATCTGAAATAAAAATTGAGTTGCATTTGATAACAAATAGGGTAGGACGCCTCACTATTACTCCAGACATAACCTTCATTGGCAATGAAAGGAGAGTCTTAGCAGCAGACCCACAAAACGTATGCATTATACATTCTTATTAGAACATAATGAATTTAAGATACTGTTCAGAGGCATGAAACATAATTTTTCAACTGATAACATGAAGCACCATTTGGAATGGAATAACTTTTTCTAACAGTGCAGTCTTGGCCTTCAATTTCGAAGTCAAATATTTTCTCAACAATTTAAAGCCAATTTAAACTGTTCAGGTGATTTCTGCTAAAAAAAGAGACATGTCAAATATTTAAAAATGTTTATTGATATTTAAATGGATGGAATGATAGTGCAAAGAAAGATGTGCAACTGAGGGCATTGTTCTTCACGCAACTTTCACAGTTTAGTCATTTAAACATGTAAAATGTGTGAAGTAATAAATAGATGTCAGGAGAAAAACATTCACTATTTGTATACAGAATGTTACCAAGTCAACATGTTAGGCTTTCCATGCCCATTTCCTTTTAAGAGTATCATTGACCCAAATAAGCTATCCACCATAACACCAAATCAGACATAAAATGAAACCCATGGGTCATAAAGACACAGTATAGTGAATCTTAAACTGGCATGCTTCTAATCCTCCATTGATGCAAAAGGTTTAAAGCTTCCTTTTACTATTCAGAACACTTTTCCTAAACTCCCAATATGGAAAATGTTTTTTTTAACCCAAGTAGGGTACTAGTATGTCAGGATTAAACTACTTTATACATTTAAATATAAGAGGAAATCAGAACATTCTCACTATATGCAAACAAGGACAGAAGTCATATCAGCCTCAAGTATGCTGCTAACTTCTTTCATTAAATTTTGTTTTCCTAGTACATTTGACTGTAATATCCACAGATAGTCTAGGAAGGAAGTTGGTACTCCAAACTAGAAATCTTTTGGACAGACGTATTTACCAAAATCCCCAAAAGAAAGGCATAACCTATTATTTCCATTTCAGACTCTTGATGCCAACTTTTTACTGCTATAATATTTAATGTATGTGCTAGTGGTTCAAAGTTGGGAAGAGACAGTAGGATGGGCCATTTCCAAAGACACCTTCATTAAAAAAGACATCTGGACATATTACTAAGCAATTGATAGTCACCACAAAAATGGAGCAGAGAGAAACAGGACTTTAAATACAAATATTTTCAGACTAATCATTACCAAACGAGTTTCTGAAGAGAACCGGCTTGAATAAGCCTCATATTAGCTATGCTATGTTTAGGGAAATTGAGATGTTCTCTCTTCACAATTTGAAAAACTTCTTTGTCTGCTACATAAGGTCCTATTTTCCTCCCAGCCCATTGGGCTACACTCAAAGCAGCTTCCGCAAAGTACACACAATTGAAGTCAGGAATTGCTGTTTCAAACAAGTGTGGCAGTTTCCTGTAGGGGGATGCACATCTGGAACAGCTGTGTGGATCACACTGAAAATTGCTTGGGATTTTGTACTTAGGAGTTATTCCTATATGAGTCACTTATAAAACCAGTACACATTAAAAAAGAGTTAGATCTGTAGTGTTTATGGCAATTAACAAACTAATCTAGATCACATCCTTCAATACTTGGGACAGGAACATTCGGGAAAACAAAACGAAGCCCTCCACAAGTTTAGTTACATAAAATAAATTAACATGGACTGTCTTCATGGTTCACTAAATCCAAGAACTAGTTAGCTTCATGTTAGTTTTTATATTATAATTACTAATGGAAAATCAGTTTGTGTTCCATCTCACCTCAATCCCCTCATTCCTTAGGCTTGTCTCAAGGCAGAAATATTAATTGCATATCTAATTCCACAGAAATGCTTCATTTTTGTACTTGCCAAATGATTATTATCAAGATTAAACAGGCTAAAGCCAAGCCAGAAATTAGGATGCAGATCTTCTTGCGTGATTTCTTCTGTTTAAAGCAAATAAAAAATAAATAAATCACAATAGGGTATACTGCAGGGAAAGAGATATACACCCTTTCTGCCAAGAAAAGTGGCAAGAGATGTAACATTCAGCTCCCATTTCAGAATTAAAAGTTACAGTGAAAACCAACATACTTTTAAAAACCTGAGTAACTGGACAGTGGAATGGATCATATAAATCACTTTTTAAAAACGTCAAAAAAAAAACCCCACAAGTTTTTAACTGGTTGATTCAAAACTACTATTCAGAAAAAGAATATTTCTGTTAGTAAGCATTTTATTTTGTGCAATGTTTGGGTATCTTATCAGCACTAGCACTGATGATGTTAGTTAGTTTGGGTAATGAAACGTCTGCAAGAAAGCCACCAAGCTCAGAGCAACAAAGACCCCTCATTTCAACCTTGAGCTACATTAAAAAGTATGCCATAACTTGGAGGCTGGGAAGCCAGAGTTAGCTCTCCCAAGACTGATGCATATAGGCTAAACATGCAGTTGGAAAAAGATCAGAGTTGAGTCAACAGAGAGGTAGAATATAGAAGATTAGCCTTTCATGCCTCTCAATCTGTTCTAAATCACAAACATTTAAAGGGACTGAATGGAAAGCTATATGTTTCTCATCATTTTGGATCTGAAAACGTTTGAAGTAAGAGACAGAGAAAGACAGCATCTCTGAAAGACAGAAATCCCAACTATGCTGCCCCCACTTCTAATTCTGAAAGACTTTGGGGCTGTACAAAGATTACCTGATAATAAGCACCTCTCTGCAACTGTTCATTGGCATTTTCCACATGGACTTCTGCATTCTCTACATTTGCTTCTATGCTATCTATAAAGAAAAAGAAAATCCCCTTTAAAACAACAACCCACAACCATCACCACTTATATGATGCATTTTTCCTACAGCTAAACCTTTTTATATAGCCTGTGTAAAGTTATTTCAGCATGAGATTCGCTGTGTGGCATACCCTTTAGCTGTACTAAGGGGTAATCTGCTGATTAATCATTGTTAGCTTCATTTCAGATAGGGGGCTGTCTGTCAGGCCCAAACCTAGAGATCCAAATGAGTCTAATCCTTTATGTGTTTATCGCAAATAGGCAGAATCTTGCCAAATTAAAGCTATAACTTTCTAAGATACTAGATAAATCTAATATAGTAGTTTGCAGCCAAGCAAAAACCACTATTTACTTACCAATCATGTCTCCCTGATCATGGATCATCATAGCCAAATCTTTAAAAATCTGATTCACATCCAAGATATCTGCCTGAAAGGGAAGTTTGCCAAAAAAAAAATATTACCCCTTTTTGTGCTTATATGTTTCTATTATTATTTCAATTATTAAGACAAATAAATATTCCTGTTGCATTTATTCTTTTTCTAAATAACAACCTAGCATGGCTGATTGTCTCGCTGTCGATTCTACACTTATAGAAAGAGTCTTTTGTTGTCCTGTATTGCCACTATTGCTGAATCTTTGGATTCACCCTCCTCATTTATTCTTTAAAATGAAATTTCATTTATGGTCATATATCATAAGTGCTATGTCGTCTTCCAGTCTTAGAAGAATACTTGGGTTTTATGTCTGGTTCACCCCCCTTTCTACTACATCCTCCTCCTGTTTAATAACTGATTGTAAAACCCACATTTTCCAAAATCCTACACTTCACCTGCTTATCTTTTAAGAAGACACAGGAAAATATCAATGTGCTGCACTTTGCAGCATTCTTCTAATTTCCCAAACACCAATTAGAAACTTTATGAATTTATCAAACACTGTGCAAAATGTTGCACATTTTGCTCTTATGTTGAGCTGTTACTAATTTGAGATTGCCTTGAAAGAAAGAAAAGTCATGTTCATATCCCAGGTCCCCAGTGACACATCTATTCACAGATACTATGCCTGGTGCCTATCAGATTCCTTGAACCACCTACTTTTAAGTTGTTTTTTTTAATGTGAAAAACTGGCATGCTGCCATATAACGGCCCAGCCTCAGGCTATTCCTTAATTTCCACGAATGCCTTTTTCCCTCTACTTTTTCTAATAAAAACCATAGTGATGGGTAGCTCTAGTCTAGATCCTTAGCTTGAATTGTGTTCATTTGCCTAGAAAATACAGTAGCTTAGGTCTATAGACCTAGCTAGAAATGTCCTACAGAAGGCAGAACTGAAGGAGATGGCAGTTTGCATTAAGGTAAATGAAGGCTTTCTACCTAGGCATGTTTCTCATGGCAACCATTTTACAAATGGACAAGGCTGGCCATGCCAATCATTCTCCAAGATCTTCTCAAAATTCCAACAGTGGTCCTCAGACCAAAAAGGCATGCTGTACACTACAGTATTAGATAAATATCACAGAGTGCAAATGAAGAGCACAGTGTGGCTTTTGGCAAAAAGAGGCTTTTGACCCCTATAATGTGCATTTTAAAAAAAAAATTGCATCTAGTTAAATCTATCAGCTACTTACCTCCAATTGCCTAATGGCAGTTTCTCTCTCCTTGATTAACTCAAAATCTTGCTCTGTTATAGGTACGTCTTCTTCCTGAGCCTGCATCTGATCCCATTCTTCATTGCTGAAGGAAATAAAAATGGACAATTCACTCTTTTTGCTGTCCCCAGGAGATCAGGAAAAGGCTATTCAAACACTTTTTAAATTCACTTATATACCGTTACATTCCTTAGCTGTGGAAAATTCTTAGTTGTATTTAATACCACTTTTAGATAGAATTCTTTACTGGCCAAGTGTGATTGGACACACAAGGAATTTGTCTTTGGTGCATACGCTCTCAGTGTACATAAAAGAAAAGATATATTTAGAGCTATATTGTCGACTCATCAGGATGCCAATAAGAAAATCAGGAGTGCGTAAGAGAAAGAGTACAAAGCCTGAGGAACATCCTGCTAAACAATGATTTGGCTCCAGTATCTGAATTCAACCACTATTTCTGAATAAAAGTTTGGCGTCATATGAGCAACCTGTGATGAAGGCACATCAGATTTATTTTCCGAATTGAATGTGGATTAGGAATGTTTTTGCAACTGAAGGAACAAGTTAATAGAGATCAGAAAGCAACATTACCTGTCAAATGAGACCAACTGCTCTTCTCTGCGTTTCTCATCTCCCTGGAATGAAACAATTCTAGATCAGTCAAAAATTTACACTGGGAGGATACGATGCAGCAATTAGATCCTTTCTGGCCTAATTAACAACAGCGTTTTTTTAACAAATGGATCTGGTGGATATATTCAAGGCAAAATTAGTTCTTTCATTTAAGAGAGTACCAATTAACCAAGAGAGGTTGTTAATAAAAATTGAACGACTGAAATGGAATTGAACTAAACAGGAAGGGACAAATATCTTACCAAGTAATTATGTCTGCAACAGTATGATAATTGGTTCCACCACAAAACAGCGTTCGACTAAACCGCGCTCGACGAACCCGCGTAGCTAACGTCATCAACAGCGCGAAGACAGAAGCATGCTGTAAACGCTAAACCTAAAATTAACCCCTAAACCTAAACCTAACCCTAACTCTTAACCTAACCCTAACCCTTAACCTAACCCTAAACCTAATCCTAACCCTTAACCTAACCCTAA